AGTGGCACCTGTGTTCCCCACCTACTGGGGAGGGGATGAGTCAAGAAGGATCACTCCTGTCTAGGTGTTTGGGACCAGCCTGGGTAACACAGTGAGACTCTGACTTAAAAAAAAAAAATCAAAGTAACAAACAGTCCCCATCGTCCCAAAACCTCCCAGAGGTTCTATCATCCTAATCACACAGAACTATCAGATGTAAATAATAAACAAGATATAAGCAATGTGGAAGAGAAATAAGTCAGGAAACATGTTAACTATAAGCACTAAAATGCAAAACGTTGGGAAAACACATCAAAGGAATACATGAAGATAATACTATGAGGAAAATTTTTCACACCATAAACTATCAGAATACATTTCCTTTACGATAAGAGACATTTCAGGAAAAAAAAATGAAGCAATAAATTAAAAGATAGATGATAAGACTTTCTGGAATCAATTAAGATTAAATTATACATATGCTAACAGCCAGTGTATTTCTTTCTCCAAAGTTTGATTATAGAACCTTATGTGAAGAATGAGAATGTGACTCATTTACAATAAATGTAACAACTAAAATAGTGTATTACCATTTTATTAGTAACTCCTGGAGTATGATGGAAGGACATATTGTGATGAGCAGCTGATGGCAACTGAAGCCAGGAGGAGACATGTGAAACATGAAAGGCAAGTTAAGAAACACACAGAAACCTTGTCTTCTGTGAAGACGCAGAAGTACAGGATACCTTGAAGAGCTACAGCCCACTATTGATGAAGCAAGCTTCCTGATAGAAGTGACTGAAATTATTAAAATAGGTTGTATTTAAAGGAGATCTCAATAGTTGTCTCTTTTATGTTGCTTGACATGGAACAGTCATACAGATGCGAGAGAGTTCCCTATATACTCCTTATCCATGCAAAGAGACCAGATGATTATTAAAGTGGGTATGGCCAAAAAGGGAGAAAGGGAATAAAACGGACACCCAGAAAACCACTACTAAAATGAACTATAGTTAGTTGCATTGGTAAATATCTCCCTCTGTAGGCAGATCGTGAAAATTCCCCTGAGGAGCTGAGCATGAGATGTACTAAAATCTAGAGGTTAAAGCTGTAATGGCACAGCCCTATTTTTGTTCAGGGATCTTGCGAGGAATGTCCTCTGTAAGAGCACGCTACAGTAACATTCTTCAAAATCTCAGTTGTGAGTCAGTAACAGCAGACCACCTGTGCATTTATCTTTTCTTACTTGCTTGGTCTATTTGGGGAGTAAATGATCCTACAATTTATTGATTTAATGCACTACAGTTCTCTTCTTCAACCTTTCTTTGTTTTTCCATAAGCTGAAAAAAGGAAGTACAGTCACTCATCCGAAAGGGTTAAGAAAAGTCAAGATAGTATTAAAAATACTCAGAAAGAAATGGATTTCAAGAGAGGAATATAAAATAATGCATACAAATAAGGTAAAGAATTTTCATATTGTATTTAGTAAAATTTATAAAAAAAATTAAACTTGAGTCTTTCATTCCTTATGTTGATTTTACCTTCTCAAAACACATTTACTAAACAAGACAAAGAGGATATATGAAAAAGAGTGTTCAAAAAACAAGAAGAGATTTTGGGGCCAGGGAAAGTTGCATGCACCTGTAATCCCAGCATTTGGGAGGTTCAGGCAGAAGGAGCTCGAGTTTGAGGTCGGTCTGAGCTGCATAGTAACCCTATCTCAAAAAAAAAAAAAAATCTTGGAAATGAAGAGTATAAGAGAATTTTTTCAGTCAGTTAAACATGTGGGATATAACATTGAGACACTGCCCAGGAATCTTCTAAGAAGATGATTATATGTGTATGTATAAAACTTATACATATATAAAGTTAAAAAAGAGGATTATTTAAGGATGCTGCAACAACCAAATAAAAGAACAGAGAAAATGGCAACTACTGAAAAGTGAAAGACAATGGAGTAAAAGCATCAAAATCCTGAGGCAGATTTCAATTCTCAGCTAAATCAGTCAATGTGAGACAATACAGACATTTTCAGACATACAAAATCCTATAAATATAATGACACTTGTTGTCTTTTTCAGAAAGCTCAAGAGAGATAACACCATGAGATCAGGGAAGAAGAACCTCACAGAGGGGGTGAAGGAAATCCTCAGGATGCCAGTGAAGAGTGATTGTGAGACATTAGATGTTCAGGAGGTTCAGAGTAGACCTGACAATGGAGGGCTCAAGAGGAATGCCCTCCATTCCAGACAAAAAACTGGAAGGAGTTACACTTCTGGGAAGAGGTCGTTGATGAGTTAGGGAGAAGCATGTAGGAAAAAAAAGAAATGAAAAACAAAACAATGATCTCTACAACTGAAAGTTACACACATGTGAATAATGTCTACATGCATATGACCATAATAAATATTTACTTGGAACGGGAGAGAGAAAATCAGATATGAGTGTGGGGAGGGTCACAGCAAGATATCAACATGTAATATTAAACTACAAACTCCAAGAAGCAGTAATATAAGCATATAACACTAGAAACACAGAGGACCCTTAGCTGTGAGCAGGACTGGTGTCTGGAGGCAGGGCAAAGAGGCCAGTGTGGCAGGTGCAGGAAAATGAGTTAAAGTGGGAAGAGATGAAGTTCGGGAGGAAGCAAGCAGCCCAGGGCCAGATCACACTGGGCCATGTAGGCTAGGATAAGACTTTAGCTTGTACTTGGAATGAAATAGAAAAAGAAGAATTGATTAATTTTAACAGCTTTGGCAGCTTCATTATTAGCTTAGCAGTTGACATAAATTGCACATATGTAAAGTATACAATTTGATGTTTTGACATACACATGTGTGAAATCACCACCATAATCAAGAAAATGAAGACTGTTAGTCAGACGTTTCCTCATGTCCCTTTGCAATCCTTTCTTCCTGTGCCTCCCCAGCCTCTACCCTCTGCCCCAACAATGGTGGATCTATTTTTTGTCCCAGTACATTAGCTTGTATTTCCTACAGTTTTATGTAAATGTGTTAAATGTATCAATATTCATTACTTTTTAATCATGAGTTATATTCTGCTCTATGAATATAGCACACGTTGTTTTTGTTTTTGAACTTGAGAAGGATATTTAGAACATACATGTTTTCTTTTATGGAAAGAAGAAAAAAGAGAAGGAGGAAAAGAGGGAAGGACATAGAGACAGGACAGAGAGGTGGAGGCAATGATGGCTCTCTCAAATATCTGGTTCTTAAATGTATTATTTTTCTTGCTTCAAGTTGTCACTATCGTCAACCATCTCTCTTGGTTGACATGTATTTATATGTTTGACTCACATGTACTAACATTTCAGCGTCTTTGGAAATTGTAACCCAACAGACTGCTTTTTCTCTTCAAATGTCTTATTATCTTGGCCTGTGTGAGTTCCTGTTCTTTTGTAAGGAAACACCAGTCATCTGTGTCAGCCTCAAGCAGTTTAGCCACTGGGGTTGTATGCCTAAGAGTGGAGAAGCTCTGATACCAGAAACCACTGTCATCACACCCACCCACCCATGAAATAACTCTTGGTCAGAGAGATATCCTTTCTTCGAATTTTCAAAGAGAGGCGGTAATGTATTTCTCCAACTCTGAAGCTTGGAGGGCCATAACAAAGACAGATTAATTTGTCACCCACTTACATCAAGCTTTCTAAGCTCCTGTAGACATAGCCTTGTGGCTACCAGAATTTATTCCTGAAGATACTTGGACCAGAGGTCCAAATCTTTCTGTGTGGCGCAGTTACTATCTGTCCCAAAGCAAGTGTACAAGTCCTGAGATTCCCTATTTTACTCTGATTTAGCTAGGCTGGGTTGCCTCCTGTGTAAGGTCAAAGCTACCTCACCCTATGTATACAAATTTAAAACAGCCTCCTTTAATATTATACCACATTCTGCTTTATTTTTTCAGATGCATGTTCCATTTAGTAATTATCTCTTCATCAATCATTCTTTTAATTTGTAACAATTATGTATGTTTTTCACTCTAATTTTAACAACAATTTGCTGCCTGTCCATTTTATTTCCATGATCATTTTATCCATAATTATTTGATAATCTATAGGGGAAAACCTAATACTTGTTTGTGTTGAAATCACTGATGATGGATTATCTCGTTTTATGTTTGGCAAGTTTTGATTGTCTAAAGTAGGTATGTCATATAGGATTTGTATTTGCTTCTGCAGATTCTAGTAACTTTTCATTTGGGATCCATTGTACAACACGGTATGTTTTAGACACACTACCTGCTAGCAAGGATAAACTCAGTGGCCAGCAGACCAGCACTGGGAAATATGGATGCAGTGATGGTTGCTGAGGTCAGGTGTCTTATCTTGTTAAGAATGAAATAAGTAGAAATCTCAGAGTAGTAGTTCTGATCAATATTCAGGCAAGAAGGATATAGCGATTTTCATCTAAACAAAAATTAAGTCTTGGAAAACACCACATGCAAAATTAAAAAATACACTGTTGAAAGCAAACTGTGGAAAAATCATTTGTACTGAACAAAATAAAATGAAACAAAACAAAAACACTGACTTAGTAACATGAAATGAAAAAGGATCCTAGAATCACTTTTTAAAAAAGGCACTATTTCCTTCTCAATCTCTACTCCTGTATATGTTATTAGAATTAACATACAAATTCCTCTTAAGTTCTAAGTACCATTTAAATTTCAAGGAAAAGATTATTAACTCCATTTTCTTAACATTAAAAAGATAAAATGACTATTCTAAACGCAGAACTAAAATTCACTGGTGATGGAAGACAGAAATTTTTTTTAAATTCACCCTTTATTTTTCATCACCTTTAAATGAAATGGTATCTTTGTTTTCATTACTAGTAATCCTGAAATAGATTCTGATAAACAAGACAAAATATTTGAAGCCAGTTTTTTAGAACTAAAGGCAACCCAAACTACAACTCACCACATTCCTTATTAGCATAAGAAAAAAAAAACAGTACATGATTTAATGGTGAGAATGAAAAGTGATTCTGAAGGCTTACCTGCTGGCTGTTTTCACAGAACAGTTTTTCTTGTGTCCTCTTTCAGCTCGGGTATCTCTCAGAAGCTGATGCTATACAAAGTGTTAAGACAAAGTTGTAAAAACAAAAATATTGTCATTATATTATTTTGCAAGGAAGACAATATTCTTCCTATTCAAGGGGATTCTAATTTGTTCACTTACATTACTTCTTTCTCTATTAGTTTCTCTTAAAGATCTTGCTATGTCTCTGTTGCAAAATGTCACTAAATGTTGGATTAAATTCCAAGCTGGCAATCCCGTCCCTGAGAGCAAAATGACTGCTCTCTCAGACAGTTAATGAAAAGCCTGGGCTGGAAGTCTAGAACTCAATTCTGTTCCTGGTTCTCTGGAATAGCCCTGTTGAAGTAATACAACCTCTCTATCCCTGCATTCACTCTGATGTTTTGAGGCCATGTTACCTATATGAAAGAGCGATATAATTTTCTCTGTACTTACTGGCCTACCATAGTAAGGAAAGACACTTAATACATTCTTCTTCAATAAAAAGATTGGCTTGGAATAAACTCAGAAAAAATATATATTTGTTTCCTGAAAATGTCTTACCATCCACTTCCCTTCTCACTTAATTTTACCCTGTCAAGAAAAAAAAGTCAATACTCTCCACTATGTGTTCACTCAAAGTAGCTAGTGTTATCTAAGCAGATGTTTGCTTATACAGAGACTATACTACAAAAAGTTGTATAGCATATTGGAAACTAACCCTAGTAAAAATAGGTTTTTTTTTTTTTGATGGGACTGAGGTTTGAACTCAGGGCTTCAAGCTTACAGAAGCAGGTGCTCTACTGCTTGGAGCCAAACCTCCAATCAATTTTACCCTGGTTATTTTGGAGATAGGGTCTCACAAACTATTTGTCTAGGCTGGTCTCAAACCACGCTCCTCCTGATCTTAGCCTCCCAAGTAGCTAGGATTACAGGTGTCCACCAAAAGCATCTGGCCACAAATTAAAAGTAGTAATACAAGACAGACCTGGGTTCTAATCCCAGCTGTGGTAAGAAAATGCTGAGACTTACATTCTACCATTATGGTTATGATTAATGAGCCTGATTGTCACTAGGTGTTTCCTGACCACTATCAATAACTTTTAATGAAGGATAACTGCTTTGAACCATTTATTGATATCATTTAGAATCAATTATTCATTTTAATTAGATCATCAAAAATACAGTTTGATTGTTTCTTCAGGAATGTTTTAGCATAAATAAACACATGTAATTAAGTATATCTCAAATTTCTCTTTAACTATCTACCGTTTTCTATAATTACTGTTACCATCCTAGTCCAGACCATCCTTTCTCTCATGTGTAACAGCCTTTCAAATGGCCTCCCTTCCTCCAGTGTTCCTTCCAGCTAATCTATTCTTTACATTGAAGCCAATATGAGCTTTCTAAAATTAATCTGATTTTATCTTGTACAAGGCTTTCATGGTCCTTCTTAATATGGTTATATCTGTAAACTGATATAATTTATTATGCTTCCTCCTACCTGTGACCTAACCTCCTATCTCTAAGTGATATACTGGAGCCATAATGAACTTCTAGTGTGGGGTGTGTACTGCACTTGGCTCATGACTGGCCCTTTGTGTCACTTATTCAGTTTGTCTGCATCTCTAGGGTTCAGCACTATGTTCAAAACATTTTTAGTACTCAATCAGTATTTATTGAATGAATGAATGAGTGAATGTATAAATGAGGCAATGAAATAGGGAGTGCAATCCAGCATCTGATATGTAGCTGAAGCCATATTTTATTATGACTTCTTATAGAAAATAGCAACCATTTATCTTAAGTCCATTAATCTGAAAGTGTTTCAATTTAGAAACACTTCGTACCATGAACACTGAATTGTTTTTGAAAATAAAAAAGTAATTATTTTGGCATTTCTAAGTCTAGTGGCACGTATATACATATAGACAAACCAACATTTGTGACACAGATAGCTAGAGGTAAGATGATGAAATCTCTACCTCCATCATAAAACTAATGACAATTAACTCTTCTAATTTTAAGATAAAAGATACTTGAACACTTTTCTTGAGGTTTGTGTTAAAACAGTTCAAATACAATGTCCTGAAATAAGAAAATTCTGCAGTTTAAAAAATACAACTAGAATGACCAAAATAAACATTAACTTGTACTTACTGGGTCTGGATAGTTCTGAGTCTACCACCTGAATGAAGTTAAATGAAGGCAGCATGTTCTCTGAACTTTGATGTTCTATCTACATCTAACAGACCCATATAAAAATGTCTTCTTCCTCAAATTTATGGTTTTGATGGGCACTGTATAAAAAAAGAGACAGCTATTGCAATAATGTACTGGGTTTATATAAAAAGCAATCACAAAACTGTCTCACTTTACCAATAAAATTATAAATCTGGGTACTCCTTTGCAACTTTAAAATGTAGCTTAGATAAAAAACAGACTCAGGAATTTTTTTTTTTAAATTTTGGTACTACTGGGGATTGAACTCAGGGCCTCACACTTGCTAGGTAGGCACTCTACCACTTAAGCCACTCCACTAACCCTAAAAAATATACTCAGACCTTTAGGTCATGAATCTAAAAGTTAATACATGAATGGAGATATTCTAAAGAGCAATGAGGAAAAAGTTAATCTAGGATGTGACTAGATTCCCAGTATGTTTCTTAAAAAAAGGAAATCAGATTAAGAAGTCACAGTAAGATAAATAAGAATCCTTCATCCCTGTCCTGATAAGCATAAGCAGCACACTGGATTTTAAGAAATTCTTCATTCTTCTTATTCATAATTTTTCTGTTTGCTTGAACTCCTATCAGTGTCACAAATGAGGTCACTTTTAGGGTTCTGACTCAATTATGAAATTAATTCATCTCTGATTAAAAACAGAACTTCTGAATATGGTGCGAAGTGTTTCTTACCTTCCAACTTTCAGATTGCGGGACTTAGGTCAAACGGAGATACAATTCCCTTATTAGTGACCTGCAGATGTATATTAAAAAATGACTTATATAAGAATTACATTAAAATCCATAAATGCAAACCTAAGCACACAATTTTTAAAATTGCTGAATTAAACCAGGAAGAAGTATCCCTTGTGAATAATGGTTCTTATTGTTACAGAAAGGGAATTAAGAATTTCTCTGGCTATTAATGATATTTTTACAACATTATTAAGTCTCAAGTTCCTGAAACAAAAGGAAGAAAAACAAAAGAGGACAATTCTTACTGCAAGGAACTCTTGCCTGATTTGGACAAGGCATTTAGGCTCAGGAATGTCTCTACTGGAGTCCCTTTTGGGTAACTCCTCAAATATCTGCAAAATAATTTCAAGTCTCTTCACCCTCAGCTTAAGTAATATTTAAATTATGATCTATAACTCCTTATGACACTTGTAAACTAAGTCCAAGTGCCAAACCATAATACGCTGATGGAGGCAAAGCCTCAGAAAAATACACACACACACACACACACGCACACGCACACGCACACGCACACACACACACACGTGCTTCTCTTTCCTTCCTTTCATCCCTGAACTGACTTTGGCATTTCTCTTTCATGGTCCTTATAGCACTCTCTTCTATGGTTTTCTCAAGTACTTATCGACATCCTACAATTACTGATTTTCTGTTCCTGCTCAAACAATAGCCATGTTAGGGGAAAAGCTATGCTATTTTTCACAAATGTCTCCTTTTGTTGAAATGGAGAGTAATCTGGTAGATAATGATGATAGATTACTTACTTGATAAATGTGTAATAAACGTATCATCATGATGCTGAATATAAATCAAAACAGGACTAAGCACCAAAGAATAGCAAGAAAGAAAAATTGTAAGTTGGGATAAAGTAGTAAGGAGTGGTTTTTAAAAGAAGTGGAATTAATATTATCATTACTTTATGTTGGTAAGCTGGTATAGAAAAATAAAAGATGATCATGCATGATAACAGTCATTCATTCAACAATACATTGAGGATTTTATAATTTTTTTATGGCTTTGCATCTCATCATTTGGACCAAGGTTTAACCAAAAGTTTATCATGCTATAGTTAGACCTAAGTTGAACTAAGAAATGCTTATCCCTCAAACTATAGTGTATGTGTGTATATATATACACACACACATATATGTGTACATATATGTATAGTTGATCCTTACTATTCAGATTCCATATTTGTGAATTCATCTACTTGCTAAAAGTTTTTGTAAAACCAAAATCAATACATGCACAGTGGTAAAAATTGGAGTCATCTGAAATGAGTGTTGCTAGCTAAGGTCCACCAAGGTGACACTCTTATCTTGTAGCTCTCATTCTGTGAACAGATGGGTTTTTTTGTTTTGTTTTGCTTGTAGTGTGTGTGTGTGTGTGTGTGTGTGTGTTTGTGTGTGGTCTGTTGATCACTATGGATTTTTGTTTTTTCTTTTTTTTGGCATTTTTGTGCTTTTAGGGGTGATTTCACTGTCTAAAATGAACCACAAGTATAGTGAAGTTCTTTGTTTGAAGCTCAAGAAGGCTGTGATGAGAATTACAGAGAAAGTACATGTGTGTTATATGAGCCTTGCTATTGGATATGAGTTCAGAGATAATGAACTACATACTAAGAAAGGGTCCTGAAACAGAAATACACATAAATCAAGGTCACATATTGATTGGGTGATGAAGATGTTGTGACCAGAGGCTTGAAGGAACCTAACTGTTTAGTTCCCCTGAGAGCAATGATTCAGTATTCAATGATTCAGTGTTTGAGTCTACCCCAAGTAGGAATAATTAACTGTATTTACCAATAACCTCCCTATTCAAGATAAAAATCCAAAATGCTATACCAAAGTTTAAGCAAAAAGCTTATTTAAATATTTGTCAAAAATTCATAAAACTTAAAGAATGAAAAAGAATTGGTCAACTCTCCTCCTCATAAGTTACTAGCTTTTGAACTTTTTTTTTCTCCCCAGTACTGGGAATTGAGCCCTTCTCTCCATGTGCCTTGCACATGTTAGGTAACACTGAGCTGAGGTATTAATTTTTAGCTGTTGCCGAAAAAATCTTGACTGGAACCCAAAGTTTAGATTATAATCCAAGACATAAATTTATAATGTCATCAAGTATTTCTCTTAATTCTAAATAGTAAAAAAGAAGAGCTTTAAAAAATTACATCTTGAGATAAAGTGTCTTCTTATGCAACTTAACATAGGCAACAGAAGAATTTTATTGTAAGCATTGTATATGCAGGAATATGAGTCCCTTAGGAGAGCAGAAAGTCTAATTTTTGCATTATGGATAATAAGTAAGATAAATACATTATGAATTTAACAGCATAGTTTAGAAACTTTTAGAAATCACAGCAAACATTCTATAATTAATGTGAAAAGTATCCTTTCTTTTTTTGGTAGTACTGGAGTTTTTAACTTAGAGTCTTGCACTTGGTAGGCAGGGCTCTATCCCTTAGCTCTAAGAAATGTCTTTAAAGAGGCAAATCCCTTTTTTGGAAAAGGGCAAAATGATGAAAAATCATTACAACTGAATTTGAATTCCCAAGGCGTTTTTTTTCTTTTTTAGCTAGGCTCAAGTGTTAAAAAGTAGAGTAGAGATTATATGAGGCACAGGGCAACTTCCTCTTATGCCAAGGACACCATGACAACTGTATCCAATTGTAAACTGGCTGCCAGTTTGAGACATCAGACAGCACCAATGAGCGATGTCAGTGATTACCATTACCAAGCACAGCCTTCAATTTACCGCCTACCTCCCTTTCTACCTCTCAGAAGAAATGATTTCAAAGGATTTAGGTTTATCACTCCCATGTATTTTAGAAGTGTTCTTTCTCGTGGATCACCCAATGAAAAATTAACTAATCATTCATGATGAACAAAAACAACAAAAAAACCTTGTGTTGATTCAAACCCTAAAATGTATGTCCCTTAAAACTTAACACAATTTAAGTCCCAAATTATATTAGCATGCTTTAGAGCAAGAACTAATACATTCATGAGACAAAGAAAGTAATCTGCTTATTTTATATGTGAAGACAACTTTAATGCATGTCAAATTCTTGCTAAGTCAACTAATCATTGTGATGTCATGTACGTCAAAAAAATATTTAAAAAGTTCACTGGGGGAGACAATGTAAACTTGTAAGAAACTATTGCCACCTTCTAAACTTCAAACAAAAACTTCAAACAAAAATATTCCTGTGTAGATCTTATGTTTAAGACAAATTAATTTTTAAAGCATGTAGACTGCTTTGCTATGGTAATTTTGCAAAAACCATTTATTAGTAATGAAGTCCAACACATGAATGAGTTCTGGGTGTTTACATGGAAGTCATCGTGTGACTCAGGAAGGTGGCAGTAAGAGAAAACTCTGATGCTAACAGGATCATTCATTTGGTCAATCTATTAAGCGTTGGCACAATTAACTCCTTTAAAAATAAGCTGGGGATTTATATCTCTTCCAATAAAGCTGACCTATTATCCTAAAGGAAAATAGGTAAGTATTTGAAAGAGACTAACCTCCTTTTGGATTAGAACAGACCTTACCTGGCCATGCTCTGTCCTAGCCCCAGGGTTAAACCAATGGCTGCAGAGGAAAGAGAAGAGGCATTAGCTGGAACCTGACTGCATGCACGTGCTCTCACACCATCTATCTGCATGTGCTTTAAGAAATTTATTCGCCACCAGCAATAGAGCCTTAAATATGCTTTATTTTAATGGATATTTCATGTAATTCTAGACTTACACCAATTTTGACAGAAATGTAAGAGTGCTCATAACCCAGTAATTTTCAATTTAATAAGCAAACTGAGTTAGAATTACATTTCCATTTAATTATGTTAACATAAACTGCTGGGACTGTATTCATTTTATGAATCAATTTTGGTTATAAAATCTACAAATGCTATCATTTACCACAACTTAATTATAGCATCATTACAACAAATTATGACCTTTTGATTACTAGAGTTATAAAAAAAAGTTAAAAATACACGAATATTCTATTCTGCAGCATTGCCCCCAGAACAACACAAATAGTCCTTGATAATGAATTCTGGACCATTAGCTAAAAGCACCTTGGAGCGACTTCTTTCACAGTAACAGCAATCAGGACTTTGGCTGAGAACAAGTTCAGCAATATTAAAAACGCAAAAGTCACTGAACAGTTGAAGCCTTCCTTTTCCCCCTGCCCTGCCCAGCCCATGTTGCTATATCCAACCCTGGGATGGCTCTGGCAATACCTTTTCAGTGAGGGTTTTTATTAGTTATGTAACTAGTCCTCTGGCATCATTCTGCATGAGGCCTAATAGTAAACATCAAGCACTAGAAAGCTGAGATATGGCAAATTAACCAGTACAAACCCACAATTATACAGAATGATATTAATATGACTATTAATGCTATTTATTATTTCAAGAATAATAATACTCTTTTGGAAGTACTATTTAGCTACATGACATGTATTATTTACCATCCTTATAAAAGCCTTATAAGGTTATTTTCCTGCTGCAGATGCAGAAATGGGGGTGCAGATGTTAGGTTCCTTGTCCTTGGTGTGCTTGCACCACAATACTACAGAAGGGCAAGGGACTGACACTGCAAAGGCACAGCTCCCAAAACTCCCCAAGACTTCTAGGCATCCTGTATCCTCTATGGTGCTGACAGCGGGAATGAACAGCCTCTCCATCCATGATTTGTCTATGCTCTTTCTGTAACATTTCATGAGCTCATAGACTGTGATGTTCCCTGGAAGGGCAGATTCTAGTATTGATGTGGGAATGGACACATACTGGTTAATAAAATGGTATCTGGATTAACTAATAGCTGGAAACAAAATTATTCACTGTAGTTCCACAGACAACTAGATTAAGGTATCCCCTTTCTACTAAAGGACTATGCCTTTTGCTTTAAAGGAAAATACTAAAAAAAAAATAAAATGCATACCCCAGTTAAAAAAAAAAACTTTCACAAAAGTAATAAAAACAGCAGCTACTTGCTCCATCTATCCTAACTCCAAAACTGGGTCCAGAAAAACCACTGTTTAGTCTTTTAATCTTTTCCTTTTCCAAAACATAATACTGTATTTTGAAATAATATGGTTATATCAACAGTATATGATTGATTTTAAATTTATAACCATTAATTTAGTTTCTGTAACTCCTGATCCTTCATTTCTAATTATAATACCAATTTGATTAATCAATTATGAATTAGACATTATTATGCTGACTATGTGAATACTTTCTGCTGCCGGGTTTTCCTTTTGTTTCTCCTAAAGTTGTTATTTGCCTTGCTTTTCTTCCTTTGCTGTTTTCTCTATATACCTACCAGTCTTTTTTTATTAGAAGTGTCACATCCTCATCACTCCCAGTTTTCAAATACTAAAACAAAAGAATATTCAAAATGTATCCATCTCATCCTCCCCTCTTCAGCCCTTAGAAGTCTCCTTCCCAATGCCCTCTGTCCACTTGGTATTATCTGGGCAATTGTTTCCCAGATCTGTCCTGAAACTTCCATTACTTCATCAGGTGTTCATGTTGCTTCTGTACATTGCTATGTCCTAAATCCCACAGCTCCTCAGATCATTTCCATTGTTTATTGCAGCACTCATAGTCTAGGTTTGATTCCTTTGTTAAATATAGTTTACAAGTATTTCCCACTAGTCTGTAGCTTATTCTTCTTAAAAGTTTCTTTTGCAAAAGAACAGTTCTAAATTTTGTTGAAAGGCTAAAAAAGAGTATCTCTCTTCCACTGAATTGCTTTTGAGTATTTGTAAAAAAAAAAAAAAAAAATCACTGGCCATACGTGTTTGGGTCTATTTCTGGGCTCTCTGTTCTGTTCCATTGACTTAGTTGTTCAACTCCTCTTCCAATACCATATGGTATTGAATACAGTGACTATAGAGTAAGTATTGAAATGTAGTGGGGTGATTCCTACTACTTTATTCTCTTTTAAAAATTATTTAAGCTAATCAACTTCCTTTGCTTCCATATAAATTTTAACATATTCTTGACTACATCTACAAAAACCTTCCTAGGATTTGAAGGAATTGCATTAAAGTTGAATATCAATATGAAAGGAACTGAAATCATAATTATATTGAATTTTCCAACCTATGAACATGGAATATCTTCATATTTTTAAGATCTTCTTTGATTTCTTTATCCTTTTTAACTTCCATTTTATCTTTCATGTCTTTTACTAATTTTTTCCTCAAAGTTTTAAGGGAAAATTTAAAATATTTGGTAAAATTGAAAGAATGCTAGCATAGACAAGCATATATCCACTATCTAGGTTATACCATTAATATTTTTATTATATTTGGTTTATAAGATATATATATATCACTCTATTTTAATTATATTATGAATGGGTTTACCCCTCCCCAATTGCTTTTAATTTTATTAGGATATATATTTTGTACAGGGGGGTATTCACTGTGACAATTCTGAATAGGCTGATATTATAACATTGGTTATATATAACCAATGTATAATATCTATCATCTCTCCCCCTTGGCCCTTCCCCCCCTTAAAGCACTGCAGAGGTTTCATTGTTGCATTTCATGTAAGTATATGAAGTCCACCAAACATATTCCCTCACCTTAATCTCCTTCATTCACCCTCACTCTCCCACAAGTAACCCCCAAACATTGTATCTATTTTATAGTCCTGTCTTTCCTTACTAATTTCTAAACCAATGTTCAAAGGGATTTCTTGATATATCCCTGCTGTGAGTTATACTTTACTTCGGTCTGTTTAACCCCTTCCATTACTCTCCCTTACTCCTTCCCTCCCATTCCCCCATTTTTCAACAACTTTCAATACATATTATTATAGCCTCTACCTTCACAGATGTTATATTACAATATTGCTGGCTCTATTATTCTCTTTTTCTTTCCCTCCTTCCCCAAGTTCCATAGTATAGTTCCACTATTACAAACATGCTCTACACATGTTTGTATATGATCATGGCTGTTTTTGTATATAAATTTATCTTTTGGATCCATCTTCCACATATGAGAGAAAACATGCAGCGTTCATCTTTCTGCACCTGGCTTACTTCACTTAACATGATGTCCTCCAGTTGCATCCATTTACCTTGAAACTACATGGTATCATTTTTCCTTATTGCTAAGTAAAACCCCTTTATATACATATGTATAATAATTTAATAATCCAATCATTATTTATTAATCCAATCATCGGTACATCTAGGTTATTTCCATAGCTTGGCTACTGTGAACAGTATTGTGATAAACATTGATGTATAAGTGTCTTTATTGTATCCTGACTTATGTTCCTTTGGATATATGCACAGGAATGGAATCACTGGATCATATGGCAGTTCTAGTTTTAGCTTTTTGGGGACTCTCCATACTGTTTTACAAAATGATTGTATAAAGGTTTCTATTTCATCATGTCCTTGCCAGCATTTGTTGTTTCTGCTCTTGTGAAGACGGCCATCTAACTGGGGTGAGATGAAATCTTAAGTTTTGATTTGTGTTTCTTTTAGAGCCAGGGAAACTGAACACTTCTTCATGTATTTACTGGCCATTTAGAACTCTTCCTTTGAAAATTCCCTATTCAATTCATGCCCATTTCTTTATTGGGATGTTGATTCTTTAGGAATTGCCTTTTGAGTTTCCTGTAGATTCTGGATATTAGTCCCTTATCAGATGAATAGCTGGCAAAGATTTTCTCCCATTCTGTGGACAGTCTCATGAGTCCTGTGACTGTTTCTTTTCCTGTGTAGAAGCTTTTTAGTTTGATGTAGTCCCATTTGTTCATTATTTCTCTTGGATGTTGAGCTGCTGGTGTTCTATTTAGGAAGTCTTTCTCTATGCCTATATATTCCAGTGTATTTCCTACTACTTCCTGGAGTTGTTTCCAAGTTTCAGACCTCTATCAAGGTCTTTGACCCACTTTGAGTTGATATTGGTACAGGGTGAGACAGGAATCTAGTTTGTCTTCTACATGTGGATATCTAGTTTTCCCAGCAACATTTGTTGAAGAGGCTGTCTTTTCTCCATCGTGCACTGTGGGCTCCTTTGTCAAAAATGAGTTGGCTGTAGCAGTGTGGGTTTATGTCTAGGTCTTCTAACATATTGGTTCTTGTGTCTCTTTTTTTTTGTGTGTGTGCCAATACCATGCTGTTTTTATTGTTATAGCTTTGTACTGTAAGCTTAAAGTGGGAAGTTTTGACATTTCCAGCATTGGACTTTTTGCTCAGAATTGCTTTGGCTATTTGAAATCTTTTATACTTGCATATGAATTTTAGGATTGATTTTTCTCTCTGTAAATAATGTCATTGGGATTTTGATAGGAATGCACTGAACATGTAGATTGCTTTTGTAGTGTAGTCATTTTCACAATATTGATTCAGCCAATCCACGAGCATAGGAGATCTTTCCATCTTCTGATGTCTCCTTCGTTTCTCTCTTCAGTGGTTTATAGCTTTCATTGAAAAGGTCTTTGGTTTCCTTCATTAAATTTATTCCTAGGTTTTTTTCTTTTTTTAGGCTATTGTAAATGGGATTGTTTCCCTGATTTCTTGTCTGTCTGCTCATTATTGGTATATAAGAAG